TAATTATGTGAAACAGAAGTCTAATTTGTACTTGCTGGAATACATTGAGAAATAAAGATGGATAGCAAATGAAGATGTGACGCCAATTAGAATATAAATTCCTTTCGAAAGTTAACTGATTCCCTTCGAATTTTCCAGAATATTTTGCAATTTTATTTGTATTACTTATAAGTAGTAAAATGTTGGTTATGAAACATTTTCTTCATTACTGTGTGGATAAGAATATAAAAATACCACATTTAGGTTGATTTTGATTATCATTTAAATCTAAGACGCTTATTTCGTCCTTTTCGGAACTTAAAGGCTAGATGTGCCCGCATTTCCACTGCGATGCAAACCATGCATCAACCGAAAGCTACTTCTTGTGCTACGAGCATAAGTTATTAGTTGCATTTAGGTTAATTTGTATTTCCCGTTGACTGATTGTCTTGGCTCACGTGGCCATCTTAGCCTACTGATTTTGGCGTTTGAAAAGATGGGTGTGGGGTTTGAGTCTCACTTGAAGCGTCTTCAGCCACTGAGGGTACAGGTGCATACAGGTGGTGAGTCCGAATAGAATTGAAAACGCTTCCTGGATTCCATTGCTAGTCATCATGGGACAGAATGACTTCATCAAAGCGTCAGTGCAAAGAGATGGTATGTCAACAGAGATCGGGCATTTTAGTTCAGTAGATTAATCTGAGGACAAAATGTTGGACTGGTTAGGAAATCCATTTCGTAACAGCATTGAAACACAGATTCAACGGTGGATATTTTATACATATGATAAGAGTTTAAATTTTTTTCTTTTCTTCTTCATACCTTACTATCTCATGATAGAATACGACATATCATGGATGATATGGAAGGAGTATTTTAATAGATTTCATTTCAGGGTTTTGGTATTTCAAAAAACCATGTACTCTCATGTGAAGATACAAATTTCCGTGCTTGTATCTAGTCTTTTCCAGTCCATATTATTACTATTATTTTCCCCTAGGGCTCCGAATGGAATATGGGTTTTCAGCATTATATCTCTGTTGCACTCTTCTTTCTCTCAGCACTTCCAACCGAACTCCAGGGCATGATAGGTGATATTATACAACAATCTCCTCAGAGTGTATCTCATCCATCCGCGTTTCCATCAGCATATTTCTTGAGCAGTAGGTTTCCGGTTGGTTCGTTCCCAGAGTTCCGTATTGCTTGTCCTTTCTTTCAAGCTGTCTCACTCATCTTCACTATCGACCTAGAGAAGGCAGCTGCTGATGAAACTGTGCAGCAGTATGTTAGAAATGTTTTAGTTGACACATGCGCACTGAGGTGACATCAGTGTTGAAAATTTGGATTTTGTTTGTTGTGATGAGTACAGTAGATTTCCAGACTGATTTTAGAGTAATCAATGCATCACTCGCTTTTCCGATCCTACCTTTGATATCCTTATCTGTGCCGCCTGTAGTTGAAATGATGGTGTCTAGACCGGGTTGGTTACAGAGACAACGATGACGATAGACGCTTGCTATTGTTTACTGAGTAACTTCACCATCTTTACCCTCTCTATATCCATCCGAATTCCTTTCTTGGATGCTTCTTCTTGTTTGGCTTGCGTATTTTTGAGTTTGTGTGACACCAGACATAATTCATCCACAAAATACGCATCTTCTGCAGTATTTTGTCAATGCCACGTGTCCACGTCTTTTCACTCCCTACAGTATGTTATACGATCAAGTCCACCACATTTAGGAGTATCGCCGACGATAGTAGGCAGTCTTATCTTATCATGCTTTCACTTTAAATCCTTCAGTTATGAATTATTTGGTATGTGGCATCACCATGCATCTGTCGAATGTTGTTTATTAAGGTTTACTGCACTGCACTCCGTAGAGTTGGAGCGATCTCCAAATTATTCCTGATTGGCACAATCGAAGGCGTTTTCAAAGTTGATAAATTTGAGGTATCGATTTGGCTGCTATTCTACGCTCTATTCGATAACTATGCGTAGCGTCTCAACTCAGTTGGCATGCGATTTGCTTTTCATGGATCCAGCTTCTTGAGAGTGAGATTTTACTTCCTGTGCATCTTTTAGTCACTCTGTGATGATGCGGCTTAATATTTTTCTTGAAGTGGACAGGAGCATAATGGCACGCTAGATCGAAAACACATGTTATAGTGTTTTAGTTTATTTATACTATAGACTTCTCATTTTATTGAAGAAAAGGAGACAATGAATTAGATAAGTTTGTGAATTCCAGATGAGGATAAAGTGTAATGTGTTAGAACTTGGGTGAATGTCTCCCGGAGTGTTGAGCTCCTTTTAAAGTTTTGAAGTGATGGTTATTTTTTTTGAATCTCCGTTCCCTAATTGTTTTCTTCTCACTTATATCAGCTGGTTATCAGAATTCATAAATACTGATCACTTTTTTATCACTGAAACTGACTGCCTTAAGGATCCCTTAAGTAAATTGAGATATTCAGTCTAATCCATCGTACTAAAGCATATTAAATTCAATTTCAAGGCACACATATTTTATCCAGGAATGTACGAGGTCGCTTATGGGCAGACATGGAGGCAGCTAAAAGTAGGATAGCAGACGACAGGGTGGAGTGACGATGTTTCACTTGAACCCGAGGGACAAATAATAGGGAGAAGAATATATGTCTAGTCACACTGTGATATGCCTTCATTTCAGTTTCAGTATGCCAATCCAGAGCTATTTTATACAGTCCAACCAAGAAAGTAATGATGAAAAAAATAAAAAATACGCCCCAACAATTTTCAACATTTTACCACTTTTATTTATACTACTTATATTTTTTAAGTAGCTCAAATGTTTCAAAAATATTATAAATATCAATAGTAAAATGTAGAACAACACACGTAGGCGAACACATTAATGTTTTCAATTAGATTTCATCAGATTTTAATCTGATATAAATAACTTCACAGGTGAATATTGAATATAAATTAATTGCAGTGATCTGTATATGGGATAACTTCTTTTATTCCTTCAAGCTTCAAGCTACAGCTTCGAAGTTTTGGCAGCAGTGGTGCTTATTTTTAAGGGGTGGGGTCGCTAGCCCCATGCCCAACCTTCCCTCTTAACCGGTCCTTTTATTAGCTTAGCAAGGTGAAGTGGTGCGTCGGTCAGGGATTGAACCCCGAGCCACATGTGTGATTCTACCGCTAGCCACTGATGCCTAAAGAATAAGAAGACCGTGCAATCACTCATAATAGTAGTAATTATTAATACTACTGTTATTCTGTTCACAAAAAAGATGAAAAGGTGGAACAATTTTAAGATAACAAGAATAGTGAAAGACAGCATGATCAAACAAACAAATGGCCACATAGATATAGACCATAAAGGCTAAGAAAAACGGACTGTCTACATTCTAATGGAGGTAAACACACTATGAAGGCGTAATAAGATTATGGGTTGATTAGTTAGAGATGGAAAATTTCAAATAAGGGGTATCGTTGATGTCGTCATTTGGTAAAATCCTAATTTGCCATGAGAGGGATAGTGGTAGTATGAACTTCTTCTGAATGCATGGCTTAGGCCTAATTCAACAGCTCGTGTGTAAAAGGTTGTTTTAGAGAATACTACTAGATAGCTTAGGCAATACATTACTGAGCGTCTGCAATTTTGGCTTCAGTAAAGGACAGACAAAAACCACCAGAATCTTCATTTGATCTACTTGAAAACAGTATTGTTTTGTGATATGTGTTGTTCTGAGTTTTTACTAGATTAATTGACGTTTTGCGTTGATCAGCTTTTGTATTACATTCAATTAATTGGATAGGAAATATTCTACCACTTTAAGTATTTTGATACGGTTGAAATTCGTTATAAAACATCTTTTAATAGAGTTTTAAATCATTTGCATTATACTGTTGTAACGACAGAAGACAAGGGCAGGCAACAGATATTTATAGATTTTTATGTACATTATTATTCATAATTACTGACAGAGAAACAGCGTCTTCTGATTAGTTGTTTTCTCGCTGAAAGTTAATCTTTCATCTCTTTGTGGCCGTTTCTTTGAAGGTCAGACTATTTATCTGCAATCATATCCTCCCACGCAAAGTTTTTGTTCATGTTGTTCTCATGACCAAGATTTGAGAAGTAAACATTGACGTAAATTGCTGTCTAGCAATTTCGGCTAGCAGACAGCTCTCACCACACTGTTAATTCCTTCTTTTGATTGGATGGAGGATTTCATCATGAGCTGACACTCGCCCACCGGGGTGGGTGCGTACTGCCAAAGAGTTCCAAACTAAGACGAAACAGCTGTCCAGTACTCCCTTCAGGTTTTCCAATGGTTCTCTAACTGATGTCAGCACCTCTATCCAACCAAACAAAATCCCTAAAAAACCAATACTTGGGAATTCCTTCTTTGTTACTCTTTCTTTTATGTTACATTCATACTACTTATCACTAGTAAGTAGCCTGAGTTCCAGTTTTGTTACTGCATAAACAATAACTGTTATCTCCTGTTGAGGTTCATCTCATTTAATGTATTATTATTATTGTATTTGATACATAGAACTTACCTTCTTCGAGTCAAACGGTAGCCGTTGTATATGCGTTATTTGTATATCACTCTCTCTGGTGAACACTACTGATTCAAAATACCTTTATTTTGTATCTGGCATTCGAGCACTGCCTAAACTAACCGTAGATTGTCCTTGGCACAGCTTTGTTATTTTTCTTCTTGACACTCAGTGACTGTGCATTTGACTGCATTTAGTCACAGACACGTCACAGTCTGAGTGCCGTACTCTAGAAAAATCTTGTTGTTCCGTTTTTTACGCGTAACTCAACTTCTGGTTTATTAATCATCAATTGAAATTCTCACTCCGGATTTTATAAAAGAAATCTAGAGATACCTAACCTACCCACCTTAAATACTCACAACTTATATTATCATTCGTTCATACGTTTAATCCGAACAAAAGACAAGAGAAAAACTGACTCTAATATGAGTTTCTGTGTTGTTTTTTTTTTAAATTTTCCATTTAGAATCTCCATTCGGAAGTGTAAAAGGCGATGAACAAGACTCATTTGGCTTCCATGAGTATGATTCCCAGATATCAACTCCGGAAGCCAGTTTATTAAGTGAGTCATTTGAAGTTATTCATGATATAATGATTTCTTTTTTAACAAATTTATTTTATAGGTACCTCCTAGTGAAATCATATCATCAATTGACACATAAACACACCTACCTGCTAACAGTAAAAACCTTGATTGTGTGTTTTTCTCTAATAAAAACATTTTTATTTAAGCAGGAAAGCGTCGATTGGGGCACGGGGCGTCAGTGTGTTATAAAGAAACCGCTACATTCCATTTATCCTTCTTTATATAAAACAAAATGGAACATGACAGGGATAGATCAAATCTACCGCCGTCTGTGATTTGTTTAAATCGACCAAAATATATTTATAGTAATCTGAGTATGAGTACAGAAGACTATCAATATCATGGAGGTGCTTATCATAACCACCACCATGATAATGACGATGATGATCTTAGGAATTATACTGTCATTAAAAGAAAGCCTTCCGATTATCAGCATTATTATATACCAATTCATACGGACAGACAGAATAGCTACACAGAATCAATGGTCATCAATTCCCCACAAAAAGATTATGAATATCCACTCAGTGAGAGACAAGCGAATAGTGCTCATTACAAATCGACAAAATCTTCTCCATCCTACTATTATATTGATCCAACTCCACAGTATAAGCTGTCTACATCGAATAAATGGGATACTGAGTACACTTCAACTGGAGGACTAGAGAGGAATGAGACTAAGAGTTATGACTATCATAACAATGCGGAACAGAATGGTGATCATCATCATCATCAGTCGTTTATTCGAGATATCAGTAATCGAAGATCCTCGAGAAGATCTGCAAGAATTACAGAACTTGTAAATTTATTTAGTAAAAACTTTGATGAAGAGAATAAACACAATACTCATGGGGTTAATTATAAAAACAGGTAAATGTTGGAACGATTTAATCTGTTTGACATTATTCAACATCATAATATGCGCTTATATATTTAACTGGAGTGTTTGAATAATCAATATGTAAAGTTAACAAATAAGGTCACAGCGAGGCAAGAGCATCTAATTACGTTTACAATTATTATTGATTTCTTGTGTTCTATGACGAATGTAGGGGTTCCGCAGTACATCTTCACTGCATTCGGTTCACTTATGCCTAGCTCCACAAATACCCTTTTATTCACATGATTTTGGACTATTTCACCCTCTAATGCTCAGCTTATCGCTTCCGATTCAACTTCCACTTGACGATCAGGTTTTTGTGAAGTAATTTGAATACTTGTAACGACAGGAGACAAGGGCCAAGCAACAGATTGTTTATTGGGAAAATCAACAGATATTTACAGATTTTTTTATACATTATTATTCGTCATTGTTAGCAGAGAGGTGACGTCTTATGATTGGTTGTTTTCCTGCTGAAGGTTATTCTGTCATCTCTTTGTTGCTGTTTCTAAGATAGTCAGACAATTTATCTGCGAATCATATCCGCCCACGCTAAGTCTGCTGTGATTGGTTGTTGAGTTCCTCAAGGTTAGGCTTTGTTCTTGTTTTTTCTCATGACTCCGATTTGGGACGTAATCATTGACGTCAGTTGTTGTCTAAAATTTTGGTTTGCAGATAGTTCTCACGACAAACTTCGATGGTGTATTCCCAATTTATCTTCATTTCTTTCTGAATATTTCTTTCGGCGATAGGTTCTCAGTTGCTTCTCTTCCTGCCAGAGTTCCATGTTGTTTATCCTTTTTAGTCAACGATTTGCTCTTCATTATCGAGCCGGAGAAGTTTCCAGCAGCCTGCTGATAATGCTTATGGTGATAGGTGTGTATAGTGATTGAACCATAGAGAAGAAGAACTGATTTTCAGATGATGGGTTTGTGTAGGGATTTGAATTGATATAAGTTCTTAGACTTGGTCACGAAACTACATCAACGAAAAATCTCTGAAAACCAATGGCGAAATCTTCATTGAAATTAGTCCTAATCACCACAAAATCCCACAGGCTAAATATCAATCTCCAGTTCACTGATGGCTACTGGATAGATGTCATGAGATTGTACTGAGAAGTCGTGAACAAATGCGATCATTGAAGGTATTGGTTGGCGGTAGCACTACATCACTAGATGACAGAAATTAAAGTTCTCACGTGGCTAAATTCCCACCCAAGTGGCTGAGTCGTCAGTGAGCTTTACCTCATAACCTGAAGGTTCGGGACAACGACATCTTATTGGATCAGATGAAGAGCTCTGAGCCAGGAAGAAACAGTTGTCTAGTGCTCATTGCTTCTCGGTGATCTCTCTCATTAATATTGATTCGTGACGAAATTAACGTGGAAAGAACTAATTCGACATTGGTTTTAAAAATCTGGATCTCGTATAAGAGCAGTCAAGTTTCCGGTGTCACTTATTTATAGTCGTCTACATACTGAGTGTCTTGTCATTTACTTTGTACAACCTGTCGAAGGAGTCAGTAAATAATCTTTACAGGTATCATTCTCCTTATTGTATATTAAATTTGGATTAGTTTTTTTTTCTTCTTACGCTCCCAGTAGGACACAGGGCTTCAAACTAGAGTATTGAAGTTTCGGCAGCAGTTGGATGCGGTTTGCTAGCCTCATGCCCAACCTTCCTTCTTCACCAGTCTTATTTACTGGCTAAGTGAGGTAAAGGAGTGCATCGGCCAGGGCTTGAACCCTCTACCACAAGCTTGGTTGGCGAGCATTCTAGTGCTGTGCCACTGACGCACTTATTCGGCTTAGTGCAACCTTCAATCCTTCCTGTAAACTTACGGGAGTCATCATCCACATATCCGCCGATGGTAGAATGGTAGAAGTTTGTTAGCCACTAGGGAGGTCAGGGTTCAGTCCCCGGCCAAAGGAATCTTAAACGTCTCCTTCTTTACCAGTCAGTAGTAAGTCCAACAAACGAGGAAGATTGGGCGTGTGAAGCCTTAGAGTCATCACCAAATTCATTGAAACTTCAAAGTTTGCAGCCGTATATTCCATTCCTAAGGTAAGAAATGAGAAAAGAAAACAGATAGCATTCACGAGGTGAGTTTACAACTTTTCCGCTGTTCAATATGAATATATTGTAGAAGGGGTATACATCTCCTTCGTTGTGAAAACATGACATTTTAAAAGATGGATATCAGCTAAATATATGAAAAAATTATCTACAAATTTTTTAGTTTTTCAACAACAAAATATCAAAATAACAATGTTTGATGAGAGTGTTTAGCTTGACAGTTTCAGGAGAAAAATTTCCATGTGTATATGCTCCAGGGTAACAAGGAATTATATTAGATAAGTTTATTTTAAATATCACTCGGTGATGATGCAGTATTAACAACTCAATGATGCTTCGATGATACCTTATTGCTGCTCATCATAATCGTTCAGTTTTAGTCATACGGCTTCAGAACTTGTCTTATATATATTTTCTCTCTCTCTTGTTTGTTGCCACTTTCAACGTCTACGGCATAGGCATTGCATCACCATGACTGGCCCTACTGAGTTAAATAACCTGGAAAAAAGCTCAGGCACTGTATTGCAGCCACTTGTATGTAATCAAAAAATAGGGTGGGACATGGCGAGAGTATTAAAAAGTAATATAGCTATAATTAGATAGTTATATTGGCCTCACAAAGCGCACACTTTCCAAACGCATATCTGAACATGATCCAACTTGGTTAATAAAAGAACAGTGCAAGACAGTTACTAGCTCACTTTTCCAGCAGTTTGTGAACTCAAGCAACGTAGATCCACCAGAGTCGTCTTTCAAGACTAACTACAAAGTGAGACCGGATAGTACAAAGAGTGTTAGGCTTTGGTATTTATGAGGTTGAGTATTACGTAAGCCACTTTTGAGTGATTATATCCATTACGACACCTCCTCCTTATCAATCGATAATGGACTACCATAGAGTTTCGCTAAATATAAATATGATTGTACAGCCTCTGAAGATGATTTCGTCAATTAAGAAAATTTCCTTCGCTGAATGGTCTTTAATTTTCTTCATGATTCACTGGGTATTTTCAGTAATATAGTTAGGTGAAGAGAGAGGTCAGTCACTGATGCTTTGTTGGTCGACTCAACATCACACAAATGCAATCAGGATGACGCAACACCCGTACCAGAGATATACAAAGTGACAACAAACAACTGAAGAAAGTTGGGGAGACAAAATAGAGAGGAAAAGTGTATAAGATAAATTGTGAAACCGTGTGACTAAAACTGATGTGACTATGAGCAGCAATAATTTCTTCTCGAAACCTCATCAACCAGTTGTTAATACTGCATCATTGTGTGATAATTAAAATAAACTTATCTAATATGGAATTACATTCTACCACAATGCCCAACTTCTACACACTAACAAGACATCACATTCGAATGTTAAAGTTGATTAGTCATAAACTGTTACTCAGCACAAATCTACATTGTGGTGAGGTTGAAGAATAGTGACCTAAGTGCATGAAGGATGTTCAGGTGGCTAATTAAATCTTTCATTGGTAATGACGATGTTTACTGTTAATAATGAACGCTTTTCAGCATTAACAGAAAGATATCATTTGGGTAAGTGGCCTAATCAATAATTCCCAACTTTAAATTTAACCTGAACCTAATCTTATCGTATCCATAAACTTCAGCTTATCACTCTATACAGTAGTCATTTGAATGAATACTGACACTCACATGCATAGCTGACAGTTATTCTTGCAGTTTATGATAGTAGATGGTTGGAGGCAATTGGCAGGAAGCCTTGCTGGAACTAGGTTTACTTATAAAGCGTGGTGGATAGCCATTCTGAAGTAGTGTCTTCTTGTGATTTAAACACGCAAAAACTGTTTCACTAGTTTGAAGCAGGGCTCATGAGTCGTGGACCCCATATGACCAAGCTCATTGAGCCGAATCAGTTCAAACCAACCAATTTCTGATTAGCTACTTGGACGGCTATCTGGGCTGAGTCCTACCCAGTACACTACCGAATATCTTTACCTCAAACTAGCGAAGCGACCATCCGGTATTTAAGATCGCTTCGATCTACCTTGCAAGTACTGCTGGTTGAAATGAATGGTATACTGTTTCCCACCTAGATCATTCTGGTTTATTCTGACTGACCGGATTCAGAGTCATTCGAGTGCCTTTTCACTTAGTTTATTAATCGTTAACTTTGTCCTGCATTACTTTGAGATGTCTGCCAGTTTTCTGTACAAAGAGTTGTTGGTTCTAAAATCAATTAACGCTTTAGAATAAGTTTGAGGAATAAAGCCTTCTTCTGGCTAACTGAAAAATTATAGTTCTCTTGATAAAAATGATGGGAAACAGTTCGTAGAGGGAATAAACATGCAATCATGTAATAATTATTTTTCAGTAATACAATTATTTTCACGCTTAGAAAGTACATTGTCTTATTATGTGGGTTACAGACACTAAATTGACAACGACAGCCGAATATAACAAGAGTGCATCATCGACTGAGTTGATAGATTAATGGCTGGGCACATTAGTTGTTGGTAGCCGAACTGTCTGTTAGCAAACTGACGTATAGATATGGTAAAATGCATATGTCTTACATTGAAATCATCATTTGAACATGTTCTCCATACTGTTTTTGTTTTGTCTTCGCTTCCCACTTTCTTTGTTGTCTCATAAGGATCTTTCATTTCTGCCCCCCTCCACCCGAGATTTAATCTGCCATCCATCATGCAATATACTACTGATAAATCCTTGTCAGTAGCATACATTTTGAAATCCAATAGAACCATAAACCAATGGTCCTACTAATCGATTTTCAGTGACCAGCAAATATCTTCAGGTGATACTCATAATCTGGTGTTTAGGCTACCATATATACCTTGATCTGTATTGTTTCCTTTAGAGCCACTTGTAAGTAATAGATGCTGAACGAACAGTGTAAGCATAACAGCCTTCCTATAGGTCTGCGATGCGAAAATGACCACAGACAGTTTTAGTGCCAGGTTGTATAGCTCGGCTCCTGTTACTTGATTATTACTGTCAGATAGCTACTGCAGATAAGCAATTTTGCTAGAGGCAGAGTGTATAAATGTACCACACTTTGCCAGAAAAAATAACGTCAAAAAACTTAATTTTAGTCGTAAGCTAGTGAGTACAAAAAGAAGGACCCATCAACGCGATAACACAATAACGACCTTGAGACTGGCAATATTGTCTTTCCTGAAATATTGCCTTGTAAAAGTTCATTCAAGCGGTAAGTCTACAGACTTGACTGTGTCCAGCTGTCTAGTTTGTCCTTATTACCAATTGTACTTACAAATAATAAATTAACTATTGAGTAGTTTTCGCTTTCAGTTGTTCAAATAAGTTTTGATTTCTTCATGTTGGTTACGAGATTGATTGATGAAACACCTGTGATAAGATGAATATTCGTTAATTATTCTCATCAAGGACAAGTAGTCATCCACTAAAGTGCAAAGCTGAAAACAAAACTAGAATTCTATTGATCACAGATAAAGATGGAGAGAGGGACAGATCACAGTAACATATCTGAAACATATGACATTGTAACAGAGTATTTTCTTTCCACCACCCACGTTTCACCTCCAGGCAAAATAAAGTAGAAAACGTGTACCTTCACGAACAACAATGGATACATGTTTCGAAACATCTTAAGTACAAAACACTCTTCATAAGACGAAATTCTACTTTAAACACTCATTAGGTGCGAACGCACTGGTGACGTTCGAACGTTAAATTGACCTGAAAATAAGAAATTTGGGCCTCTAACTCAATCCGAACCCTAATCTTTCTTTAAATTGGCCCTTATACCTCCTTAATTAGGTTAACCTAATTCTAACCTATCCGTAGCATTAACCTAACTAACCTTAATCTTTGCCTAACCTAACCTAGATCTGGCTAGATATGCTGTTACACTTCATTCAGCAATTTGTTTCATGAATATAGTACCATTCCTCTGGTCTCACTATCTTGGTTTGACTGAGCATTCCAAAGTTGCTGATGCAGTTGCGCTAAAAGGGTGCCTAAAAGTTTAATTTCACACACCATAACAAATGTTAAAGAGACACCTTATATCATATATCTGTCTAGTTTCAAACAAGAGGCAAAATTGAACAATAGCGTCCCAGGTATGAACGCACGAGTGACCTTCAGCCGACCAATCATAAAAATGTGGAATGTTTGCTCAAAAAAATGACGTATATTGACAAGAAAATGCTTGAAAAAGCATTAGGCAGGTTATCTTTCTCTGACATGGCTTTAAAATACGTCCTCGTTATGACGAGGAATATCAGTTGCTAAGTTAGACTAGTTTCTGTACATGTATTCACCGAGATGACTACAGATAAAGTGGTTTTATGAATCGTTTATCTCTCTCATCCTGCTTGCAGTCTTCCAAAAAAGCCCTCGGTTGAATTATTATGGTTTCCAGCAAGAGGGTAGAAGACTACTTACCAGGAAAACGTGGATAATAAAAAATTAAAATCAATGATATCCACTATAAATCTATCCCTAATCGTAACCATAAGCTTAATCCTGACCCTAACACTAACCTAACCTTAATCTTAACTCTAATCATAACCTTTGTTCAAACCGTGATTCTAACCCTAATGCTAATTATAACCTTGATCCTAACCCTAATAGCAATACTTACCTTAGCCCTAATCCTAACCCTAACGAGCTATTAACACATTGTCCAAACAGTAGTTGAAAACGTGATCTGGGTGAAATTTGCTCCTAAGTTGGTGAATAGCCTTGATATTTCAGCTATGATAATAACAGATGCTGTTAGCCAACGACTAGCATGCGTTCAAGGCCATTGGAGCGTTCACACTCCAGGGACGCTATTGTTGAATTTTTCCAAACAAGTAATATCAGTTTAACAATGAAACACTGAAACGATATTCCTACTAAATTTCAGTTCATTATTTTTGGTTATGCGTACTATGTATGTTTTTCAGAATATTGATTCATACAATAAAGTAAATACTTAGAGTTCCTACATAAAGAAAATCTTCACTCTTCAAACACACACACACACACACCACATAACTTGAATAAAAAACATTGCTAACAATTTAACAAGCATAAAAGTTCACTGTATCCGTGTGTGTTTGTGTGTGTGAAACATTACCTCAATCAATAAACTTCAAAACAAATTATTACAGTAAATGTCTGGTTTGTAATTAACTTCTGTGAAAATTCTCTATTGTTTTAAACCATTGTACTTCATAGATTTTCAATTTCGCTCTAAGTTCCACCCACACAACACACTTCTACGCCTATGATTGGTCGGTGTGAAGGTAATTTTAAAACAGCCAATGAATGTGTAGGATACATATCTCGTACTACAGACCAATCGAATTAGAGATAATATAATGTGTACATGTGAAATGAAATTTAGCTTTTTATATTGAAAATTTATATCTTAGCTACTGTTCTTTGCTCACTTATGTTACGAAAGCATATTGTGACTACTATAACTTCTTTGGAATTATTTATTACATAGGCCCGTGAGTTCATCAGAAGAAAGTGGTGGTTTACCAGAGGGTAATAGTGTGCAACAAAAAATTCAACAAAAATCATTTTCCGGGAAATTACCTAGAACAATATCCTTGTATTCGTATCATTCTCAACCACATCAAGAACATAACAAAATCAATAATAACAATAATAATACTAATAATAATACCAACAAGATTACTGATCATTTCAACAAACAAACAAATAAAATTCCTGTAAATAAAGAAGAAGGCAACTGTGAAGATAAATATTCAAAAATGTCGATTAGTGAAAGGTAAGTGATGGTTTCTTATTTATTGGAAAACATACCCATAAGCTAAATCGTTGTGGCCAACTTCTATATTATTATTATTATTGTTATTATCACCAAGACAAACATCCTGCATATTCTTATTAATAGTAATTTCAAGAATGATACGTACTGACATATAGGTTACAGAACCATTGAAAACCAGTACGGAAGTACTGGACATCTGCTGCGCCCTTGTGTTGGACTCATCAGTAGTAGGCACCAAGACTCGGGACCTTCAGTATCCGAATGAGCTATGAGCTCGCATGAAGGTCCTGGGTTCTACCCCTGGTAGTATTATGGGTGTGCACTGAGAGGAGTACCAAGGAAGTACGAAGTAGCTATACAGTACTCTAATACTGGTTTCTAAGGATTATGTAAATGAAGTCAGTTTACAATCACTATTGAAATCAATCAGATCCCCTCAAGTTTTCAACATTTGAAATTCAATAAAGATTTCTTCACGGTAGTTAAGTTTCCACAGTATTGAGGAAAACCCTTCACAGTTCTGTCATATGTCCTTCTAGCTAATTAACATCAATTACTGAGATATCTACAACTGAAATTCCTTGTTTGTAAGCGCTCGTGGACAAGATGTGCCCCCAGGCAAACTGATTCTGACATTTCGTTTGTTTTTTAGGGTAGAGATTACATGATCTACAAAACAGAAAGCCTAACTCATCTAAATCTACTGTCAAGCCCAGAAAAAACCATTCTAGTGATTGCTAACCTGAAATCCCTTTAGTTATTAAATGCTTACTTGCTGCAGTTTTGACGATACTTTGCTAGAAGAACAATTGCATTGCTCAAATTTATTCTTTGGAAAATAAAATCTATCGTGTTGGAAAGAATTTTGAAGCATTGATTATTATTCACAGCAAACTTACATTCTGAAAATTCACTGCATCTCCTCATCACTGTACAGTGAAGTCACTTTCTTTAATATGATTCTAAGGTCAAAATTTGTTTGATGAAACTTTGTTTAACGTAGAAAAGTTTGGTCTTACTGATTTCATGCCTAAATGAAGTGCTTCAGTTCATTGTAGATGAGGTTTCGTTTAAAAGAAAACGTAACAGTTAGTGATAGGTCAGAGGGAATCTTTAGTATAGCAGTAGAAGTAGAAATATTTGCCAAGGTATATTTTTATTTACTATTATATAATTCCCAATCTTTTGCATCCCGCATGGAACATAGGTCTTCAGGCTTGAGCCTTCAAGCTCCAGTAGCGATACTTTTTTATGCGGTGACGTTGATAGCCTCACACTACTCTACCATTCTTGTTTACAGAGCTTACTACCAGCCTGATAGGGATAGTTACTGACAATGTAAGTACTGAACATCTAAACATTTAATAAAATGTAACAAGACGACGATGAACGAATAAATGTAACATAACCAAAGGTTATAGAAAGTCAGAAGATTACATTTTTGAAGTAATTAACCATCCTGATGAAATTTACGATAGAGAAGTTTATGAATGCATGGATGTAACTGTGATCCATACTGAGGCATACATAACATCGGGCTTTTTAAACAAATGATTTCACTAATCTTGAATACCTCAGTCATGACTCTGATACTTTCACATGTGGTCATCACCAAACTATAGATGTCAATTATTTTTCCTCGTGTTCAGAAACAATGCGTTATTTTGACTAGTGCGATTAACCATGAAGTTCTAGATCCAAGATTGTATTTCTGTTGTCTCTAACCTAGTGATACCTTACTCTCACCATCTGTGTGTGACTAAATACCCCCTGTGCTTAACACAAGGGATGCAAGTCACCGAATTTGATACAAATTGGTGAATATCAAACAAAGTTTTTGTACTGGAGGCTCTATAGTTTATATATTGTGGTAGTTCAGTTGGCTAACTGCATAGACAGTTAATAATGATAATAATAATAATAATCATAATTCCTTCGGTTTCCAGATGGAACATAGGACTTCAGCATCTATGAGTTTGTTAACTTCTATTACTAACATGAGATTATGATTACATTCCCTATTGATCCAGTCATACTTGACTGAAAGCTCAATCTCTGGAGGCGTGTTGGCTGTTTCTTATGGATGCTTCAACGATGCCTTGAGACTGTCATTAGTAGCAAACAGTGGGATCCAAGGAGCATGTTCCATCCTATTTGTGACTCACTACCTGGAGGTAGTAATTAATGGCATTCCCACTGATAGCCACGGTTCCGAAAGGCAATACTAGGTGGCCAAGCCAATCGATCAACCTGTTATGTAATGCATTCCAGTTATTAATTAATTTCAATCTGAAACTATCCGTACTAGTAGCTAACATGCCAAAAAGGATTGAGCGTTTCCCTCCAATATGACAAATCAACGGAAGATGTGAAATGACTTAAATTGATAGTGCGTTGCATCAGAAATAACTTAGTGGATAACTCTATGACATTTGACTCAATGGGTTCGAAGTTCGAGTGTCATTTTGACATGACCATCAGCTGACAAGTCTCAAATGGGACGAACCATGCGTCTTAGCTCCTATGGCTCTCCATAACTAACCTGGTAGCTCTGTAAACTTTTGCAAGCCATTTCTTTAATCAAGTAATCATTGAATGCTAATCAACAGTTGTGATTTTTTTTTCTTACGCATTCATTTTTTTAAAATTTTATTTATTGAACAGAATTGCATGCATCCGACAGAATAGTTTAAATTGGAGAGAACGTGTTGAACGTCCATCACCAAATGAAGAGAGTACCTGTGATATTAATAAAATTCGAATGTCATTGTATGAAAATCAAGAATCATGGAGAAAACGTGCTGAATCGCGAAACGAAGAAGAGGTCAATGCAATGCCTGAAAGAATTAAAAAATGTTAGTCTACATTTTATATTTGTACCTACCTATATTTCTTCATTCACAGAATTTCCCCCATTTTTAAGAGTGATTTTAAAACATATCCCTGAAAGTACATCAGTTTGAATGACCACCACACTGAAAGGATAGAAGTGAAAACGAAACATTTCTGAGGCAGTAGGGGCCAATTATACTAACGTGAAAAAATCCAGGTGCAATTTTATATATGCATAATTCTGAAGTCTACTGTCTAGACATAATTCTTAAACAACATTTACTGTCACACACTGACAAGACATGTTGATTGAAACTGGTGAATTTTGGAGTATGCTATGACGCAACTCCTCTTTTAGTAATTGCACGTTAAATTGTAATTGTGTGTATGGAACATTCCAGAGTACCTAAGAAGGATGACTCATAAACGCAACGATCACGTGAATGACCTTGAGCAACCAATCAAAATCGTCCAATAAAAAATAGGCATTGATTATGTGGAAAAGCATGTTTAAGGCAACTAAGTAGGATAGAAACGGTTAATAGTCTCTTAAATGCTGCAAATATGTCTCCCGATTTCTCGTGAAAGAGGTTTCTATTCATAAGTTTGCCCAGGCGATTGTATAATATGTCTTTTTAGAATCCATTCGTCATACTTTCGCAGGTTTTTTTTCAAAATGTTCTCCAAATCCTTCTATAGGATAAGTAAGAGTCGCAATTGTACTGGGTAAATGAAATCTGGGGAATAGTTCACTTTATTAGTGAATACGTCCCAATTACGGTAATTGGGAGTATGTATTCAAATCGTCAGTATAAATAATTGTCCATAGAGCCACTAACTAAACCATAAAGTGACGCTCTAATTAGTGCTTTACTGTTATTCTTTTGGTGTTTGACTGCTAATTAATATAGTTGCATTTATCGGTTAAATCAAAGCAGTTTCTGGATTTTATTGACATGTGTTAACTACAGAAAATCAAGGTGTACTTGACGTCTTTTTCGGAACTTCGCAGAAGTGTACACCCACAAAAGTCGATACAAATAAGATATTATGGGTTATTGGTTTCCAAATCATACGGTGGATGGTATTTTTTGATGATTTCATTTGCCAGATCTCATGAAGAGTGGTGGTTGGACATTTTTAATTATTTTCAGGGTAGAATGAAGCAAGTGTTCAATGCTTTTAAATTTTCAAAGGTTTTCCAAATAAGTTCATGTTAGAAAAGTATACTGTCTGAATACTTTCCATTTTTTTCAAAGAAATCGTGGTGAAATTTCAACTCAAACTAAGTAAATTGCAAATTACGAATTTTATCCAGTACATAGCCAGTTTGCTAATGTAGCCAGCTAGAATTTGGCTCTCTGAGCTAAATAAAACTGAGGTACACCATTGATAAGTTTAGTCCCGTATGAGTGAAACGGTTTTCCCATATTGAGATCACTTCTGCCTGGTTATCAAGCACTACTGGTTAGTGTCACTGGTATCTTACTACTGATATCAATCTGTCAGTAGTACATAGTTTACTTTCCAGCCTATCAAACCCGCATAAATTTTAGTCAGGGCGTGATTATCCATAACCACTTGGGTATTGCTTTAAATCCACAGACTGCAGTGACTAAAAGTTTAATTTGACCGAGTTTCTAAAAACACTTATTCACCTTTATTACACTAGAAGTGAAAATTTTTCACTAAAAAATTAAATTTATGCCTTTTGGGTGTGTCATCTTCAATTTTTCTGTTTATCTCAAAGTGACTCACTCATTGTTGTTATTATTATTATTAACATGTCATTCAACTCTATTTCTGTGTGTTTCTGAGCTACGTTTATTGATTGTCAATCGATAAATAATTATTTCCTGTTTTCTTCTGAAAATTTAATTATAAAATAAATCATAGGTTTACCTTCATATAACAGTTAGTGGAGAGCGATGATATAACAAAGCCTTAATACCCTCAGTTGGAGTTAGGGATAGGCCACATACAGCAGCATAAAATCATCAAAACGCAATTTTATGCGATAACCTTTGAAGCCTGCAGCCTAAATATGCCTATGAAGCAACATTTACTATCACAGAATAGTAAGAACTCTAAAGCCGACCAAATAAATACCTCATAAAAAAATATCAAAATAATATATTACTTATGGTTAGTTAGTACATGAAAATGGCAACATTACAATAAGTGTCGTTGTTGTTAAGGTATATCACAAGACCACTCCTATCTGAAGAAGCTCAAAATTGTAATTGACTGCCTTTCTTCTATAACTTGTCAGTGCAAGGAGACGGAAATGAAAGGGTGATAAATTTATTTTGATGATTGCTCATATACTTGCTCACGCATAAAAAAAGTTGACATAAAAATATTATTATGGTCGTACTGACACTATTGATCAGTTATATATTTATTATTTATGATTACTGTTCACTCAGGTTCTAGGTGAAATATAGGGCTTCAACAACACACCTCCATTTCCTCTGTTCTCTATAGTCTTTTTCTATCTGACTCCACTACTACCTTTATTGTCCTATCCCCTCCACATCATCCTTGAGTCTATGCCCAACTAATCGTTTTCCATTCGGGTTCCACTCGACCAACTATACATAGTGCTCTTAAATATTGGTAGCATGTATTTTTAATGTCCAAAATTAAGTTTAATAGATAGATCAATAAAAGACTGACTCAGCTCAGTCTTTAGACTAATCAGCATTTATAGAGATAATAAAAGATCACGTGTTTGTCTAATTATCTATTAATCAAGCTATTTGATTGGTTAATAAATTAATCGATCAATAAGTGAATTAATGTTAATTAACTTTGTGAGGAAAACAACAATTCAAATTTAATGCTAGTTATGTCTAGTAAAAAATAAGTAGACGACGTTTTTGACTAAGGGGAAGATTGACAGTAGTTTAATATGTGATATTTGTCATTAAGTGCTTCATAGTATTATACATATTCAAATGTCAAAAGAGAGTAGTTTAAAAGGCGTGAACCAACACTGGCGTGAAAAGTGATTCCCATTACAAATGTGAGATAGACAAGTATAAATATCTTGGGCGAAGTGAAAGAATAACTACCCGAAGGGGGCAATGGACGCAGCAATGATCTTGAAACAAGCAATTGATATAAAAAGCCAATTTGGGTGCCTAATTCAACCCACTAAACCTAATCTTTCCCTTACCTAACGTTCACTACACCAGATAAAAGTGCCACTTATATTTTTCAGTAAGGCACAAAGTTATTGGAAAAGATCACTTATAATTTTGATTTCCCTGAGAATCAAATTAAATGTATGTATAATGTGATGACCTCAAATTTAAGTAACCCTCAGATAAAGACACATTTAATCGGTTTCAAGTTACATATTCCAGGACTTTTGGTTAACAGTTTCAATTCAGATACACCTATGACCATAAAGAGGAAACATAGCGTGAAACTGAGAAAAAGTGTTTTCGTGAATTTTTGGAATAAACAGCATTCTCAAAGTTTTCACATTCTTTTAGATATGGAATGCCAAGGAAGGCACATAAATCCGATACTCTAGTTAGGTCTATATCATCCTGTCATAAACTTGCTTAAGGTTCAACTGAAGAGCCGGAAACAGTAGATGAAAAGGTAACATTTAAGGTAGCTTCTGATGTATCAAGAAACTGAAAATTCTAAGTAATTCTAAGACAGATTTATGGCACTTCATTTGATGTATTCTTCACATATTCTCCGTACGACTGAAGGTGTCAAAGTCAGCTAGGATCAGGAAAGCAAAACAGGCCTTCATTAATCTGAAGTCAGTATGGAAGTCTCCTGCACTCTGAATAAGGAACAATATCTGAATATCTGAATGTCAAGTCAATGATTCTGTGTGGAAAATACCAATCCAGACATAAATATGAGAACAAACAGTTCAGTGCAAAGCATACGGAAGCTTACCGTTTTCGGCAGGCTTCTTTTGATTTTGTAGATGACTTTGAATGAATTCGTCTTGCACATTCATTGAGTGACCAATGTTGAATATATGTTCAATTGTAGCACTCCTTATTGATCCACTGCTACGTTTTCGTAGCCAAGTGAGATAATGTTTTTTGACTGCTTTAGATAAAACATGTTCCGAACGTCCTTTATATCTCGCTCCATATGAGCAAGTAAATTGACAGCTACACATAGAAGTGGTCAGATGCGATAGTTTATCTTTTGAGTTGTTGAAGAACAATTGGCGGCTTGGGAATATGAGTCGTAATGTAGGAGCAGAGAAAGTTGCTTTCAGGGCGTTAGATATTTTTCTCTTTAGGATGGCGGCTAGAAGGTCACCTTTGAACGCCACATTGATGTATGGCATCTTCTTCGACATAGAGCTGCGTTGTTGTTTGTTGATTTTCGGCCTAATGTGAATCTATGAAGCGTGGTGGATAAGCATTCTCTTCAAATGACTGATTCGACTTACTACTATGTCAGTAATGCTTTTTTTATGAATTTTTTTATGAATTCTTAGTAACATGTTTTTCTTAACCAGCCCTTTGTTTACTCTTTCTACCTATTACGCAAATATTTATTTTGAACACGTTTCTTCATGCTCTTTCATTCACATTCTATTTTTCTGGGTGTCTTTCATATTACGCAACTTAACCCTTATCTATACTTTTCAGTCTTCATCCCACTCCTACACGCCAATTACAATTTGATTATTCCTCACAGTTTTGGAATATTTTGATGACGTAAACAATAAATAAGCCTAACTAATCTCTATTTGTGGTATTAGGTGGTTGGAGGCAATCGGCAGGAAACCTTGGACCTAGGTTTCGTGCTAGTTGGCGCTCATCAGCAAGGTGTATCTGCAACCTTGAAGGGACTGATGTCCCTTCTGAGATTCGAACCCGCGTCACCCAGTGCTATAGTCAGAGACGTTACCACTGAGCTGTTCAGCCTCGCGACTGACCTCTTGTAGGACTGTATTGGATATCTTTGTTTGATGGCCCTAAAGTACACACACACACAATAATTTTATATAAATTTGACTGTACAGTCAAAAAGAGACTCTTCACTGGACCTTTTTGATCTTAGATTCTATATTGTTCAAAAACTTGGTGCACGTGTCACCAAAAGTATTTTCATCAAGTGACTGCAGACGTTCATGATCAGCTACCCCCGCTATCTTGTCATTGAAGTAACTAATTAGCAAGGATCTCCGGCAGAGTAGCGGCCCAACTAAGAAGCTCGTTACCCAAAATATACGCAGAAGTAAATGGAGATAAATGGGAAAAACGATGAGGAATGTGCTTAGTGACATGACACGCCAGGTTAGCCCTTGAATGGAACCTGGATGAAAAGTGACAAGTTGGGCTTGGATTCGACGGTGATATGGAGGAGATCGTGTGTGTAGCAAATGAAATCTTACGGGCAATCTTAGCGACAGCTTAAACCGAATGCAGTGAGAGCGGAGTAAAGTGAATAATTATACATTGATATTATATTTTTAAAGATTATTATAGGAATGAATTAAAAATGATGTATGTTATCATAAACTAGACAATTTATTGTACCTCCTTAACGTTACCCTGAGACCCGTAAATTACTCATGATTTTCCCGTCGGGTTTCTTTCGAGCGACTACCTGGCGTGTGATGTCACTCAACAGCCTTCTCAGTATTACCTACCATTCATTTCTCTCTTCTTTCCTGCATATTTATTAGGCAGTAGTTTCTTGGTTGGTTTGTTGCCAGTCAGTGTTCTTTTTTGCTTATCCTTTTTGGCAGGCCGTCCAATCTTCAGTATGGAGACAGGGCAGTTGTTGATAAAAGACTGCAACAGCCTGTTGGAAATGCCTCTGGGGACTAGCCTGCCACATCTTTTAACCATAATGAGGTCCTGAGTAACTTGAGATCAGTATTGAAAATCTGAATCTTATTCCTTATGCTGAGTTTCAATAGATTTTTACACGGACTTCCGATTAATGAGTGTTTATCATGCTTTCCGTATGCGAGATAAGTGAAAGAAGTGACCTACTTCAAATTCCTCCGGCTAGTAGTGATTAGTGCTTGTTGTTGCTATTGTTGTTATTGATTGTCCGGTGTCTTCATCACCTCTGTCTTCTCTAAGTTCACTTGCCTAGATCTTTTGTGAACGAAATTCATTGGCTAATTTGACCACTAATAGTTTCCATGTTGAACAAATTTTTCAACCACTGGTTGATGGTATATGCTAATTCTACATTTAACTAATACTGACATTTATAAACGTAGAAATGTGTCTCTTTTCAGGAAACTTCATTATAAAATACAAGCCGAACAAACAGTTGCTTATTTCATTTCTGAAAATTGTAGTCTCACGATGAACAAAAAATGTTTGCATTGCAGCATAATCAAACAAAGAAAGAAAGAACATCTGTGGTGTTTCTATTTTTCATTTTTTTAAAAATCTTTGTCAGTAACAGGATGGAAGTACTTTAATCCTGCGTGATTTTTCTGTTTAGCAGTTGGAAAAGATCCCAGTTTATTTTTAGCATATTTTTTAAACAACGTGAAAGCGTGTTGTTTCAGCTGAATAGCTTAATTTATCATCTTGATTCCAGTTAATTCTAAGGAACAGGGTATCAAAATACTGGTACATATGCGCGCGCACCCATATACACACACTGCAGACTGTATCACCAGTTAACGTGTTTTCTCATCTATGGTAAACGGCTGTAGCCTGTCATATATCCATATATACATGTATACAAAAAAAAATAGCTGTAATCTCTCTACTACGTTTATACCTTGTCACATGATAGTTTGTACGGTAGGAATTGAAACAGTGGGGAAGTTAAACTATTTGTCATAGCTAAGGTTCAAGGTCTGTCAAAAGTTAACCTTCAAGAGCCAATCAGATTTAGGGAACTCCATGAAATATCATAACAAACCAAATCTATGGATGTGATGAGGGTAGGCTCAGTATTCTACTTATACTTTTTTCTGTAAATTTAAACTGTTAAGTAGGGTTAGGGGCGAGGTTCAACAGTAGTGTCCCAGCAAGGCGAACGCTTCAATGACCTTGAACGCATGCTAATCGTTGGTTAACGGTACTTGTCATTATTGAAGTTGAAATATCAACGCTATTCACCAAATGAGGAGCAAATTTCACCCAGAACACGTTTTTAAATACTGTCTGGGCAATGTGTAAATAGCTCGTTAGGATAAGGGTTGTAATTAGGGTTACGATTAAGGTGTTTAGTTTAGGATTAGCGTCAGGATTCAGGTTAGGCTTACGATTAGGGATAGATTTAGAGTTGACGTCATTTATTTTAATTTGTTTTATTATCCACATTTTCCTGGTAAGTAATCGTCAGTTGTCTTGCTGGAAACCATAGTAATTCAACCGAGGGTTAGGGGTAGGTTGAAGAAAATTACCAAGAATATCAGTGGATCTCAGAGTACGATGATATACAGTCACCTGTATGTATATATCTATCATTCATAGTATGATTTCTCCATGGGATGCATTCTTACACCACATTAGAGACAATTATCTAGTGTAGTGGACCAAGTTAAACTTTAAGCACAAGTAAGTACCAGTGGAGTGCGACCGCACCACTGACCTTGAAATGTTCATCGAGCAGATTAGTAAAATCAAGCAAATAATGTTGTGATTATGAATAAAATATGCTTATTGAACTATAATGTTGTTAAATGGGATATCTGGCAAGTTTCATGTTAAGTTTAGGAAAGATTAAATTAAGGTGTAGGCTAAGAACAGATTAAGGTTAGGTTGACTTAATGAGAGCTACATCAGGGTTAGTTTGAGTTAGAGTTGGGTTAGTTTAGGAATGTTTTCACGCAAGGGTTAAGTTGAGGGGAGATTAGGGTTCTTGTTAAGGTTAGAATGTGATTAAATGACTTGATTGATACCCCAATCCAAAATTGAGAGGTATTTTTGTCACACGTTAAAGAAAGGTACCCTGTATAACAGCTTCATGCGTTTTAAATAATCATTTTCAAGCATGCATGTATTTTTTACTCAAAAGTAGTCTTTAACATGAGGTTGATACGTTCAAGGTCATTTACCCCAATGGTTATTACTGGTGCCTAAAGTTTAACTTTACCGTGAAATGTTTATGAATACATTTTTGAAGGTTTATGATACTTTTCTCTATCTGAATTCTGATTGGTTGTTCAGGGTCATTGTGATTTTAGCTATAATCGTATAACTTCGTTTGAACAGCTTGTGAATGTTTGACACATATTCAGAGTTTTGACGATTGTCACGGTTTGTAGGAATTACTAAAGCCTACTATTGCGTTCACACAAAGATTATATGTCTTGCCAAAAGTGCACAATAGTGGTTTTCTGCTAGACATGCTAAACTCCTCATACATTTGCATTTGCTCTTACAGCCTCTCGATACTGAAATTGGTCAAACAGCCTAAAATACAATTTTGAATTTGTTGAAGGGATAAAAGATTTAAGTGTGAACAATAAATTCATACCATTTTTTGACATATTCTCTTTATTCTCACTAATGTACCATAAGGTCCCAGTTGCTAAATGGTATAAGAGATCGCCTCGTAACCCGAAGGTACTGGGTTCGCAATCGAATGGACGTATACTTCGTGTGTTGGTGGTACAGAGGTTAGGATGCTCTCCGACCATGCACATGGTCCGGGGTACGATTCCCGGTCGACGCACTTCTTTACCTCACTAAACCAGCAATAAAGCTGGTGAAGAGGAAAGGTTGGGCATGAGGCTAGCAATCACATCCTGTAAAAATAAAAACTGCTACAGAAACTTCAAGCCTCTAGCTTGAAGCCCTATGTTCCACTGGGGACGTGAAGGATTAAAAAAAACGTACCATTAATGCAAAACAATGGATGTTATTTGTGAAGAACATATTAGAAACAGAAAATGGATATTGACATTCCTGTATCCTTTTTGGCGGAACTTATTTTGAGATGAATAGTGAATATTCATTTTTTTCTATTTAATAAGGAATTTTACAGAAAAATTGACGGTGTGGCTATAGGGTCACCATTAGGACCAATTCTACCTCACATTTTCCTCGAATAATTATAGAATCCACCTTTGAAAGGTGTTATTGGTGAACTAGATTTCTATTGTCGTTATTTGGATGATACGTTTTTGATTTGAAAAAAAAGTAGAGTGAAGCAAAGAACATCCTTCAGAAACTAAATGATGTACAATTTAATATTATTTGGTTCACAGAGCAAGAGTGATTCTCTATGATGGTTACCTTAACGAAGAAATCAAGATTATTAGGCTATTTCATAAATTTGATTCCCTTGATAAATTTCGATAAAGAAAGGAATACGAAATTCGCAGTATAAAATGATATCATTCTGTTTCACAGGTTCTCATCAGATGCAGACTACCTGAGATTACAATGGTTATATAGGTGATAATAACATGCTTTAATGTATAAGTGGTAGTAGAGAAGAAATACTATAAAATTGACGCATCCAAAATGTAAGCG